CCTCGTTCGTTCGTGTAGTGAGTTGAGTTGAGTTGAGCTGAGTTGCGTTGCGTTGCGTTGAGTTGACTGTTGCTCTTTCATTTGCTGCTTATTTAATGCATTTTGCCGTTAACAGGATATCAAATGACAATACGTCAACAACAGTGGTAATAACAACAACAACAAAAACAATACCATTAGCTACAACAATGCTAACAACATTTTGTAAACAAAGCGTAATGCGAACGATCAAGCAAAGTGTCGGTGAGCTGACGTTTAGTTGATGAGCGAGTGAGGTGGTGAGCTGATAAGTGTGTGAGGGTTCCACTGAGCGATTGTGTGTTGGCGAAGAGTATGTACATCTTAGAGATATCATCGAGGTAGGGTTCGCCCAAACCGGAGATCGAATCACTTGATCCAACGGTGTGGGACTCTGAAACAGAGAACAGATTTCAGTGAGCAGAACCGCACTCCAAGTACGGAGCTTCCTTTTTTGAAGCTAAAAAGCTCCACATAATAAAGCATCGGTCATTTAGGGTCGGTTTAAAACAAACACTAGGTCGCTCCATTTGTTGGAACATTTTAAAGAAGCGCAGGACGCCCTCGACAGAGAACCGCTTCAGCTGTTATTGGGCGCTAAATTTATAATATACAACTTCCGCTCTTTTATGTGCCGAAACCGAACGAAGGTCATTCTCGTTTCGGGTATGAGGCATCTTGAGGTCGTCTGTAGTCATCTCTTAGAAGATCTCTTAGGTGTTTTTAGTGGTTCATGTGAACTTTATTCTGAAGAGCCTTCATGCAGATGGAAGCTTAGAGTTTTTTTTTGGAACAAAAGCCACATTTCTCCTCCCATCTATACAGCCATGGGTACTCACAATGAATATTATGTCTGAGAATTGCAAGGCGGCCGCTTCTAAAAGCTCTACCTGAGAAACACTAAACAGGAAGACTCAGTCGGTAACTTCGGTCACTCGGAAACCAAGTCATATAGCTCATTAAATGCATGAGAGACATTGATAATGCCGCTCCCATGCTCAGTGTTTCCAAGTTATCATTACTCAGCCTGTGAGGTCGGTTACTTTATCGAAATAGTGAAGAATAATATTGCAGTTGGTCTCTCATCGGCCGAAACGAAAGTATCAGTACCGTTACACACTTAGCACTTTCCGGGTATACAAGTTTCTACTGCTTGCCACTTAATGCTATTCCAACAACACTTGTAATTAGTAGTTGCAGAAATTATTGCGTTTTGTGTCAGCCAGTGTTGCCGTGTTGACTTTCTCATTTAGTAAACATACACACACACACTTGTGCTTGCACTCACTGAGTTACTCACTCTCTCGAATGCCTTCAGCTTGGAATGGTAGACTTATAAGTGTATGGCAGCCTGATAGTTGTTGTCTGATTAACTGTTTTACTTTGCTGCTTTTACATACTACTTTACTCTGCTTGGCTTGACTTATGCGTTGATTGTTCGCTTAGCTTAGTTGGCTTACTTCTCTGGTGGTGCTACAGAAATTTTTCGAAGGCTTTGTAATTGAAACTTTGCGCTTTCATTTATTTGAATGTCTGCATATATTTACAAGTACGAGTATATTGCAAGCAAATATATCTAAATATATTTGAATTTGCGAAACTTTAGAATATGACATTGCTGATGGCGATGGGATGCATGCAGTGAGAAAATTTATTTCTTAATTTAGTTTTTATTAGTTAAAAAAGAGAATGGTAAAATTTTTTAAAATCTCTATTTCCGAGAGAACCTTCATATGCGCTCTCTTCTCTCTTGGTTACACTGACTACCTGCTATGGAGTAAATGGACCTTTTGCTCCTTTGTAGTAGCAATCGGAGGTTATATACAGTCTAGATGTAGTAGACGGCTTGAGACTGCAGTGACATTTCTTCTAGTCCTCTGAACAACGTTGTCCCTACATAACTGAGTCCTGTTGTGTTACCAGTTGACTTAAGCGGGGTTAAGTTGTCGAAAAAGTGACAGCTCTTGACTGTATAAAATGCTGGTCAGCTCCGGTATGTTTCACCGGCTATCGGGAAGAGATATTTTCTCATGGTATTACTCATATCTGCTTCCCTGCGTATATCCACTGTTAATAAAACCGTTCTTGCAAGCATCCAACGCCACTACCTTGTAATCTGTCATTATACTCTCAACCGCTACTGAAATCTCTTTAAGATCGCCTGGCGATATTTACTGTGTTTCTATTTCCGGCCTGTACATAAGATCTTGGCAGTTTTGCATGGCTTTAACATATTCTATATTCGGCTCTGAGCAGTCTTCCTACTTTTTGATATACTTTATTTCCACAGAATAACAACTTTGGTATCTCTTAATGCCTTGACTGCAAAAGTATTCGTCATAGTGGGTTTAAAGAAATGTAGATTGATCAGATAAAACTCTGGGCCGTCTTTCAGTTCCGATTGTCGTGGAAACTATTAGATACCCGTAGCCTTTTACGACGGGAAAGCCTTACAGCGGGAAAACTTTTGAAATCGATAATCTGCAGAGCTAGCGAGTTTTTGTGGCTGAGGACTCCTCAGTACATATGCAATTGCTTCACCCTACTAGTTCCTATACGTTAGAAATCACGCCCATCTACGCAACGAATGGTGTAAATCCGTGGAGAGGTTCAAACAAGAAATCCAGAAAGCCGTACGATTGAGTCCAGAGTCTATAGATGCACCGAACAGAACACAATGTAAAGATTGCCAGTATTTAAGAGATTGGCTTAGAGTTTGAAAATCACTTCAAGCTAGTTATCCTGAGTTCTGATGTATTTTCTAATACTAAGGACCTTCCACTAATTGCTCTTTTAAAAATATTATTAGGTCTGCTAAAAGCCCTTGCCTATCTGTGAGAGATTATAAAATGAGTTGAGGTGTAATGAAATCCGTTCATAAATTTTCATGTTACTCTCTGTGGATGGCTAAAATAGATATTTGAGTGGAATACCATAAACAAAGATCTTTTATTGATCACTGACCAATGAACTCTCTGCACAAATCTCTTTTAGATTCTAGCAGTGGAAGGTATAGAATGTTGTACTTTGAACATTGACGAATTCTCCTTTGAAACTGTGGACATATCACTCCCTCTGTCTTTGTCCCATTACTTACTTACTGTATGAGAAAGCCAAATATACTTCAGATCAAGAACTCTCCGTGTAACGCTTCTCATTTGATGGGGCTTTCATTATTTCACCTTTCACCTGTTTTCAACAGTTGCACTTACATGCATTGTTGCGGCACTTTCAACTAGTTATTTCAGTAGTTTCAATTACAGCTTTAATGAAAAAGTAACAAAACTAAAACAGAAGCAAATCCAAAAAAAAAAATTAAGTAAAATACAGCTAAAGGCAATGACATTGTGTAAATTAAAGTATTAAATGTAATGAAATAATGGAAGGGCACAACAACAACAACAACAACAACAACAAAAATCGTAATTTAATACACGAGCTTGAGCTGTAGTTATGAATGTCGTTAAACACAAACTTGCATATATAGCTGTTATTTCCAGAAGGAGCGAGGGGCATTGAGTGATCCGGTAGTAAATTCTGTAAAGTGGTGGTAACACTAGGGTAAACTTAAAACTTTTGGAAAATAAAAATAAAATATAATTACAAAAAAATATAATAGTAATAAATGAAGTAAAAAAAAAAACTAATATAAAATAAAATAATATAAAATAAAATAAATATAAAATAAAATAAATATAAAATAATAATATAAGACAAAATAAAATAAAATAAAATAAAATAAAATAAAATAAAATAAAATAAAATAAAATAAAATAAAATAAAATAAAATAAAATAAAATAATATAAAATAAAAAATATAAAATAATATAAAATAAAATAAAATAAAAAAAATAATATAAATAAAAATAAAACAAAATGAATACAAAACCAAATAAATTAATTAGTATAAGTAAAATGAAATAAATTATAATAAAATAAAATTAAATAAAATTAAATAACTTAAATTAAAATAAAATAAATAAAAATCAAATTAAATAAATTAAAATAAAATCAAATCAAGAAAATAAAACAAAATGATAATAAATAAAATAAAAAAATAAATTTAAATAAAATAAATTAAAACAATACAAAATAAAGTGAATACAAAACCAAATAAATTAAAATAATAGTAAAATAAAATAAATAAAATAAAATAAATAAAATAAAATAAAAAAAATTGAAATAAAATAAATACAAAAGAAAAAAATTTAAAATAATATAAGTAAAATAAAATAAAATATAATAAAAAATATAAAAGAAAATAAAATTAATTAAAATGAAGTAAAGTAAAGTACAGAAAAATTAAATTTAATTAAATGGATTAAAAAAAATAAAACAAAATTAAATAAAGAAACTCCATAAAATGAAATAAAATAGAGTTAACAAAATAATGTAATATAATATAAAATAATAGAAATAAATTATATTTAGAATAAAGTAAAATAAGAAACAAAATAAAATAAAACAAATTAGATATAATAAAACAAAATATAATATAAATTGCTATAGGATTGTGAAAAGTAATTAATTTAGTTATTAGTTATATTATTTATTATTTATTCAAGTGGTTCAATTGCGATTTGCTTTTTAATTTAATTATTCATTATTTAAAAACTTTTAGTGCTTACATGAACTTGAATCATCTATAGTTTTTTTTTTTTTAAATTTAATATCTGATGGGTCACCCTTGTTTGTAAAGTAGCTATACCTTACTCCAAATACAATACATATATGCATAAATATTCATTTATAACGTATTCACAATAATGCATTGTTCATATTACTCGTATACATATATAATACTTGAGCGATTTAACGCAGCTAAGCGACATAATATACATATTATGAACGTATATGTCATATCAACACTTTACACAGTAAAGTTTCATTCGCAAAAAAAAAAAAATTGCCTCACTATATATTTTTTCAAGCTTACACTAACTCTCTCTTTCTCTTTCTCTCTTCTTTTGTTATTTTTACAGACGTATTAACAGGGCTTAAATCATTTTAAGCTGCTATAGACGGCAGCAGTGCGCCAGCGCAACGCAGTACCAGCTCGTGCCGCAACTACCCTACATACATATGTGAGCAAGCGTGTGCGCTGCACGGATAGGGAAGGACGGTTGAAAATCGTTAAACATACACATCAAATGAATTTTAAATGTTAAAACAATCACTTTTAATCTAAAATAAAGTGCAAAGGATAAAAGTTTGCATGCGAGTGTATATGTCTGTGTGTGTCAATATAAAGCGTATAACGATAAAGTGAAATGAAAGTGAAAAATAATATAATATAAATATATGCGACCACTTGTACATACAACAGTGCTTGGCAGTAAATGATAAATAAAAGCGGGAATTATAAAAAAAAAAACAAAAAAAAAATAATAATAAACACAGAAAAATAAAATACTGAAAATAAAAGAAAAAAAAAAAATAAAATGAAATACGGAACGTAAAAAAAAATTAAATTAAATAAAATACCATCAAATAAGAAGTAACGGAAAAAAGTGTAAATCAAAGGCAAATAAAGTAATAAAAATAAAAATAAAATTATACACAATAAAAGCAAACGACATTTTCCTGCGCTTAATCCCATTCGTTGCTGGAAAAATCCACGCCTGTCATTTCGCAAGGATTAACACATCACAGACAAGTGGCAGCAGCGTAGCAATCGAACACATACACATACGTGTACGTGCGCGCAAGGTGCTTGAGTGTAAAAACAAAAACAACAATACACACATATACACCGGATATCAACTCCTGCTGGCACACACATACGCACTGTTGCCATATAAATTTATAGCTTAGATTTCGATTTATCAGCGCCAGCAAGCAGCAAGCAGCAAGCAGCGGGCAGCGGGCAGCGTTCGTGGCGAATAAGAGCGGAAATTGCTCGCTTGTCACACGGTAAGTAGTATAAGTAGGTTAAATAGAATTTATGCACGAGTCCAATGCGGCTTAACGGTGGGCTTTAACTACATACTTGTACAATTACTAATATATATATGTATCATATATGTATATGTATGTATGTATGTGAGTATTTAGTAGAGTGCGAAATCACTTCATCGAAACTCCTCAAGTGGAAGTGGAGTCTCAAATCACTTACTTACTACATACACTACTTAGATACATGCACATATATATTTATTTAGATTAAACTGGAAGACAATTGCGGCTGATAGCCTTGGTTATCGCTTCTTTTTGCTATTTATTGCTGGCGTGCTTTTAATACGCCTTGTCGCCTACATCAGACTGGCTTTGGTGTTACTCCATAGACAATCTATAAGCTCATTCTCTATCTTTCAGTCCCACCTCTACGCTACTCAGCGGATTACTTGCCCTTCCTTTTTTCGTTTCTTTTACCTTGGCTACCACTACCACCTGCCCACCAGCTATCACCAGTAATTTCACTTTATTTTCCACAACTTCTCTATTACATTTTTCCTCATACGCTGCTACATATATAAGCAACTAATTTAGTACAATATTTTGTCTATTGGTCTTTGTGACTGCCAAATTAATGTCTACTGCAGTTTTCTTACTATACTTAAAACGACAAAATAAATAAAATATATAAATAAAAAAAAAATATAAAAAAAACTGTAAAATAATTAAAAAAAAGCATTAAAAAAATACAAAAAAGAAATAAAGAACAAAAAAAAAATAAATAAAAATATCTGCTGATAAATGTATGCAGTTATTAGTCGGCTTGACTGAGCTTCGGCGTCAAGTTACTTATAAACGTCTGATACTACTTATGTTGCTATTCCTTTAATCACCTTATATACATACATACATAATATATATGGAAGTAAAATCATGTCTTCGCCTTTGATGTTGAATTTTCTGGGGGAAAAAGCATCCTTATATGGCTTCTGTAAATTAAGTAATTTGACATGAAGGGGAGGTGAAAGATTCAAGAGAAAAAATACAAGAATGAAACTAAAACAAAAACTGAAACATAAATGACTGCATGGTATTGAAAAGTAATTAATTATGTTATTATTTCACATTTTTGTTAAAATTTAGCAAAACGAATTTTTAAAATTGTTTTTTCTGTATGACAAAAGGCCGTTTATTTCCATGTCATTCGTTCATACTCTCCACCGTTGGGCGCCAGTTGGAATAAGCAAGTGCAACCAGGTCGCTCTTCACCTTATCCCTCCAATGGAGTGCACGTCTTCCTCCCCCTCTTATCTCCCTAGCTGGTACTGCATCGAATACTTTCACCCATTCGAAGGACAGAGCGGCTTAGTGCTGTTGAAGGTAGCTTTTAGATTGATGAAAAGGCGATGAGTATCGATTCCTTTTGCACTAGACTTTTCCAAGATTTGACGCATGGTGAATATCTGTTGGGAATTTAACAGATTTAAAGCTGCACTGCTTTAGTCTTTCACAAAATGCTATATGCTAAATAGGACCTTATAGGCCTTTCGTACACTAATGGTCTGAAAATTCTCGAAAGGTACGCTTTAATGCCAGTAAGCAAAAAGCACCCCTAGCAGGGTAGAACGATGTGACGACCTTGAAATTCCAACCAAGTGTATTGAGCTATATGAGGATTCATCGAAGCTCCATGGAAGAGTAGGTTGAGGTGTATGCTGAAAGAACCTACGAGTATATCCTGAGGTCTTGATGGAAAATTTAGTGTATGAGTATCTGAAGTTATCTAGTGAGCTCTTTTTAAGGTTACCTAATCCTTTTCCGTCACTAAAACTCTTTACGGACTGCTCAAAGTCTTACACAGGGCGTGTAATTATTTTAGTAGTATTGATCTGGGTTTGTACATAAAGAGCCTCGAAATTATGAAGGAATCGTTATTATCAACCGTGGCGTGTTAGGATCATGCAAGGAAGTATTTCTTTAAGGCCTGTACGATATTGGTACGAGAGCTAATCAATACCAAACAAATCCCAAATATATTCACCGAGCACCAGCAATAGTTCAGTCATTGTCTTAAATCAGGTCAGCAAGCGAGCTCCTGTACACTTCACTACACTCGAAGGAGTTTAGATTCCCGGTCGAGGGGCGACTGCAGTTGGAAACATTAATTTTTAAATTAATTTAAAGCAATATTTAAGGTTGCGTCCTTTAGAATTTGAACTCATAGCCTTACGCTTAAAGCACCCAAAGCGCACTGCTAGCCATTCAGCTACAACGGCTGTTTTATACATAAAGCTTTCAAAGCTCATTTCTTGTATTTCTTGCAGATTTATTCATAATTTAAATTAATTTCATTTAATTAAATTTAAATACATTTCCTATATAAATAATTTATTTAGCCACTCTAGCCTGAAAATCACAACTTAATTATACACTAGTGTACCAAGAGTAAAGAGTAAATCTTAATATTACACGCCTAAATGTATGCAACCATTTAAGAATGCCGCAAGCAGTGCTATTAAAATGAAATAAACCCGTGAACGAATTACATTTATTATACGGATGGATATAAATATGCATATTAGTAGTGTTGGAAATTATAAACCAGACACCTACATACCTATACACATGCTAACGAAATTCGTAGAAATTACAACAACACTTACCTTACCTATATCTATTCATACATATACATATATGCACACACATCCGAGCTCATATAGCCAAGAAACAGCCACAACAACAAATTACTTAAAATCTAAACTACTCATATATGAATTATAAATTAATTTATTATATAACAACCAACAAAAACAAAACCAAAAAAAATAAATAAATAAATAAAATAAACAAGAATTTTATCAACCAACAACACCAAAGGTCAGATTAGTTGGTGGTATAAACCCTTAGGTGGATTTTAGGTTAAACAATATACATAAGTACGTGTCGTCTGCTTCACTTTCTCTCTCTCTCTCTCTCTCTCTCTCTCTCCCCCTCTCTGCTTCACTTTCTCTCTCTCTCTCTCTCTCTCTCTCTCTCCCCCTCCCCAGCTCGCAGTCGCCTAATCTAATTACACTATCGCTCTGCACACCACTCGTAAAATGAGATTTACGACGTGCAAGTGTTATCTAAATAGTTATTATAAATAAATATAAAACATACATACAGACAGACGGACATACCGACATATTTGCACATAAATAAATATGTTACACTCTCTTTTGCTTTTTGGTTGAAAATTTAATTTGAAATTTGAATTTATAACTCCCTGTGGGCTATTAAAAAAGTTAGAATAAAAGCTAAACAATAAGAAACGAAAAGCGAGCAACAACAATAGCAACAGCAACAGCAACAATTTAGTAGGAGCACAAAGCACGCAATGTACGGTGAAGAGGGTGAAGCAGAGAGAGAGGTGGCGGTAGCGAGTGTGAGAAAATTGTAACGGCGGAAATTGTAACGTTATGCTATTGTATTTTATTATTATTATATGTACATATATATTTCACATTTATTCGTCTTTTGTTTTGATATTTGTCTGTTTGTGTTGCTTTTTACATTTATTTTCCATATTTTCTGTTTGTTTGTCGTTTTTCTCATTAAACATTGTGCGGGGAAATTCATAATTTCAATTGGCTTATTATTATTTTGAAACGGTTTATGAGATTAGAGCGCACACACCTACACACATACAATATAAACATACATACATTACATGCAATTCACGATATTACGAACAGACGCGCGCAAAATTTCGCGGAGTGTGTCTGTAGTTCGTAAAATTAATAACTGAAATGTTGGTGAAATTTAAATTGGGCGAATGCAGGGATGCAGAATAGAGATGAGCAACCGTGTGTCTGTAAAGGGTGTACCAAGGTGAGGAATATTAGGAAGCCTCGTAGATGTCTGGTTGGATTTTGAGACTGTAGATCCTCATGTGGGAGCTAGGAGCTCATTTTGGAAGATAATAAGTCGGCTGATGACTTAACCGGAATACAGAAATCTTCTCCTTCCGAGGCCATAGAGTGAAATTCAGCACTTCAATATGAATATGAAATGTCAGCATCTGGAGGCCATGAAATTAAGGAAGCTCAGTCTTGGAGGTTGAGATGCCCTTGCGATGGACGCTTTTGTAGAGGTACGTACGGGTCGAGTTGTGACTATGATCGACCTCCCGTAAAGTCGGCTGCTACGTTAACTGAAAGGATAATCTTGCTTTTTCTATGGTCTCATTTAAACTTTTGGAATCTATACAAGTAGACTGAAGGAGCTCGGTATTAGGAGATGGCAGACCTTTCCGCAGGAGGTCGTGTACAGGTATGTCCGAGTCCAGCATAATTGCAAAGTGCTTAGCGTGTTGCTCGCCACCACGGAAATCCTCGTCCACGAGAAGTCAGCAAATTTGTTAAGTGGTATGGAGTGTTCTTCCCTTCTATGGTCTAATTTAAATGAAAAATAACTTTTCAGTGTCTGGAGACCATACAAGTAGATTGTCTTAGAAGATAGGAGACCTTCCAGAAAGATGTTCGTATACAGTAGGCTCGGATAAAGCTATTCCCGAGTCAGGGTAGGCGACTAATATTTCAACCAGGATAAAGACACCTTCTCCTAAATTGGCCACTGGTAAAAATTCTTAAGTGAAAATTAAAATTATACTGCTTTGGGTAAATAAAAGAAAGTTGATAGAGAATTTCGAAAGAGTCGCTTCTACGACTTTAAAAGGCTATGCAAACGACTGAAGACTATAGAAACTCTTTGCTTACTTTAAGGCCGTTGAGATGGGCTTTGTATGCTACTGTTTGGTTAGAACGTCAATCACAGAGAGATAATCTCAACTCTTTTGACGTGAATGGTATCATTGGAACCCGGCCAAGATCTATTGCAGACGATGAACTCAAGCTGTTCCCTGAGAACCAAGAGATCCCGGCAAAGTTAAGGTCAGGCCAAGCTTCTACAGATGCGGTCTGAATATAGCCAACATAAGCTTGGCATGTAATGAGTGCTCACACGGCACGAACCACTAT